GGGACACGAGGAGAGGCCCGCTCTCCACCGCCTTGGGGGACACGAGGAGAGGCCCGCTCTCCACCGCCTTGGGGGACACGAGGAGAGGCCCGCTCTCCACCGCCTTGGGGGACACGAGGAGAGGCCCGCTCTCCACCGCCTTGGGGGACACGAGGAGAGGCCCGCTCTCCACCACCTTGGGGGACACGAGGAGAGGCCCGCTCTCCACCATTGGGGGGCACGAGGAGAGGCTGCTCTCCACCGTATTGGGGGACACGAGGAGGCCCGCTCTCCACCACCTTGGGGGACACGAGGAGAGGCCCGCTTTCCACCACCTTGGGGGACACGAGGAGAGGCCCGCTTTCCACCACCTTGGGGGACACGAGGAGAGGCTGCTCTCCACCGTATTGAGAGACACGATCCTGGTCTCCACCCAAAAAACCGGCTGTCCTTGAGGCGTTGCACCACTCCTGGCTTGCTCACAAGGACAGGAAGTCTCCAAGTACGACACCTCACCCGTGTTCCCGATACGCGAAAGCAGACGTGCAAAAAAACTTGCATATACCAGCCAATAGGGTTTTATGTTTCTTGGGCAATGGGTCACTTTGACCGGAACACACACCAGTTCCACCCAAAATTAATTTGCATGTGAGAAGATCCCCCCCGTTAATATTTCCCAATTCTGCCCAACAAAGCAAAATGCAGAGGATGCATCCTGGACGGCAGGAATATTTCCCCGCTGTTTGGGCAGTGGCCTCCTTAAGGGCAGCTTGCGTAACTGGGTTCTCCTCCATGCAAGGGGAGGGGTTCTTGGGTAGTCTGCATGGAGAGGACCAATTTAGTGTACTCTCAGGATTGTCATGCCCTCGTTGGGGACCCGCAATTCGGAGGCTCAGGGAGACTTTAGGATGGGCAAGAGCACCCAAAACACTGATTACAGGGACTTTGGGCTTGAAGGTGTTAAGCCACCTGGAGAGCAACGGGCTGGAGAGCAACGGGCTGGAGATACGGGCTGGAGAGCAACGGGCTGGAGAGCAACGGGCTGGAGAGACGGGTGGAGTCCATGGAGAGCAACGGGCTGCAACGGGCTGGAGAGGATATTGAGCAGCTGGATGGATGTGGTCCATAGATGCATGCATAATGGGGACAAGAGATCACCAACTGGCCGTTTGTGAAAGTCTTTATAGAACCGGCAGAAATAGGCAAACAAAAACCGCTTCCTTCAGCAAAAAACAAAGCCAACGACCTGCACGCCATACTCTATACACCATGTGCCCAGGGGGTCCATTTATCACAAGGCAAACAAGGCATTTCCCTAGGGAAGCATTTTTCAGGGGGACAGCAGCACCCCCAAGAAGAAGGGGCATATGTGGCATGGGGACCAGGTGAGATCCGAGAGAGGTTGTGGGCTGCTTGATGGTGTATGGAGAGCCCGACTCTTGTTCCGGGGGATGTCCACAGCTGTGAAGGTGAGTGTGTCTCTCTCTCTCGCCGTGGGGAAGGGGGCTCTCTCAGGGGGGTGGGCAGAGGTTTGGCTGGTCAAGGTCAGGCTCTTTCTCCATGGGGAGCGCCCGATTTGTGTTTTGCCTAGGGCAGCACCAAACCTACATACACCACTGTATGTACCCAAATCAGAGGCTTGGCTTCCCACCCACCAAGGTGTCCCGACGCGGCTGCGTCCCCCGTTGGCCTTGGTGGGTCCCAAAGTGGAGGTTTCCAGCCGTTCTGCAGAGTCTCCTCCACAAGATGTTCCTCAAAAGTCCCATTCCAGCATTTTTGATTATGGAATGTGGCACATTTGTTTCCTTTTTTCATCCTTATTGGGCAAAAAAAAAGAACTTTTCGGTGGTGATAAGGAAACCGCACCGCACTTTGTAGCAATAACACACGACCGCCGGGGCTTACTTTCTGCAAAGCCGAAGGAAATGAGATTTTTCGGACCCTCCAGAACAAAGCAGCAGGAGAGGACTTTGTAGCCCCAACAAATCAACACCACCTTGGGGAAGCACATGGGTGCGATTATCAGGAAATCCACTCTTTATTAACACAGAAGAGTGCGACGTTGTCCCGACGTCCTGCAATAACAAGCGGCGGATAAATCGCTCGCTCCCGTCAGCGCCGAGGTCACGCGGACAACCCCCGCTCTGTTATTGGAAGCGTCCAGTTACAGCCGCTGATTGGCTTGGCGAGGCCGAAGGATGAAGATCAAGCCGCCAGAAAATTAAAGAGATTTCTTTTAATGGCCATCAAAATGTTTTCACGCCAATCTCCCAAAAAACAAAAAAAACTCAAAGCGGTGTAATCCGGCTGTTATTGCGCGGGGTCCGATGATAAGCCCCCCGCTGTTGTGATCCTGCCGACTGCGCCAAATCCAAATGATTTTAAGATGGACGTGCCTGGAGGTTGGTGTGTAATGAATCCCTTCCCCCGACGAGGTTAGGAACACTTCGTCATGCCCATTAGGACCAGAACAAAGGAAATTGGAAGCGGTTCGTTCATCGCGAGAGGTGAACAAACCATAAAAGATCTAAATATCCAAATCGCTGCCAGATCCTATTATTTAGTTTGGGGCTGTTTTTTTTGTTAAAAAAAAAAAAAAAAAAAAAAAAAAAAAAAAAGGTAAAATTTGTATTTTTTGCACCAATACAAAAGAAAATGGGCAAAGTTCATGCCGGTCTAAGATACATCCACAAGGTTCAATAGTTGTAAATGAAGAAAACATACAACACCAATGATGGGGCGCCATTCCTGCCACTGACACCAGTGATGGGGCGCCATTCCTGCCACTGACACCAGTGATGGGGCGCCATTCCTGCCACCAGTGATGTTGCGCCATTCACTGACACCAGTGATGGGGGGCACTATTCCTCCCACTCTGCCACACACCAATGATGGGGCACTATTCCTCCCACTGACACCAATGATGGGGCACTATTCCTATGATGGGGCACCTCCCACTCACACCAATGATGGGGCACTATTCCTCCCACTCACACCAATGATGGGGCACTATTCCTCCCACTGACACCAATGATGGGGCACTATTCCTCCCCACTGACACCAATGATGGGGCACTATTCCTCCCACTGACACCAATGATGGGGCACATTCCTCCCACTGACACCAATGATGGGGCACTATTCCTCCCACTGACACCAATGATGGGACACTATTCCTCGCCACTGACACCAATGATGGGGCACCTATTCCTCGCCACTGACACCAATGATGGGGCACCATTCCTCGCCACTGACACCAATGATGGGGCACCATTCCCCCCACTGACATCAATGATGGGGCACCATTCCCCCCACAATATCAATGATGGGGCACCATTCCCCCCACCAATATCAATGATGGGGCACCATTCCCCCCACCAATATCAATGATGGGGCACCATTCCCCCCACCAATATCAATGATGGGGCATGGTTTACCCCAATGGCCACAGTCTGGACCCCTCAGTCTGAAGGACGGTAAAGGGTGAGAGGGAGGAAGAACCCAAAAATTCTGGGTTGTCACTGGAACAGGAATAGAGAGAAAATCTTCCAAAAGGGAAAGTTGGTTAGTCTTGGGTTAATAGATGGAGGAAAAAAAAACCTGCTATTGGCCCACACTGGCCCACACTGGCAGAGATCGGCCCACACACTGGCAGAGATCGGCCCACACACTGGCAGAGATCGGCCCACACACTGGCAGAGATCGGCCCCACACTGGCAGAGATCGGCCCACACACTGGCAGAGATCGGCCCACACACTGGCAGAGATCACGTAGCCGAGTGGAGTTGGAGATTCGGTTCATCTTCAGGTCTTTGAAGCCATTCACCAAAGGTTACATTTTAGTAATTATTCACAAGTGTTCTATCCTGCGGTCGGGCCGAACGTCACAGACGAGTAATTGTCAGTTTAGTAATATTTGCACAGACTAAGCCGTATAAAACACAGAGAAGAGTAACGCCGCCGGAGAAAGTCCACAAAGTCCTGAAAGCCGGGAATTAGGAGGAGAATTAGGATGGCAGACGAGCCGTTTACCAGACAGGTCAGAGCATGCCGAGCAAACAATGACATGCCGCTCAGAACTCCCGAAACACACGGGACGCGCGACCTGCTGTGTGCGCACAAACCACACACCTGTCTGACCACATCCAGCGCAATGGAGGAACGTCACTCTACGAGACGCAAACCGCCACACACCCTGTGCCCACATCCAGCACAATGGAGGAACGTCACTCTACAAGACGCAAACCGCGCACTTGTGCCCACATCCAGCACAATGGAGGAACATCGCTCTACAAGACGCAAACCGCACACTCATGTGACCACATCCAGCACAAAGGAGGAACATCATCTCTACAAGACGCAAACCGCGCACTCATGTGACCACATCCAGCACAAAGGAGGAACAATACTCTGACGAGAGATGCAAACGCGCACCTTGTGCCCACATCCAGAGCAATGAGGAACATTACTCTACAAGACGCAAACCGCGCACACTCATGTGACCACATCCAGAGCAATGGAGGAACATTACTCTACAAGACGCAAACCGCGCACTCATTGACCACATCCTGCAATGGAGGAACATTACTCTACAAGACGCAAACCGCGCACTCATGTGACCACATCCAGAGCAATGGAGGAACATCACTCTACGAGACGCAAAACCGCGCACCTTGTGCCCACATCCAGGCAATGGAGGAACATCACTCTACAAGACGCACAAATATAGGACTGAGGATTTGGAGCTTCTCTGGAGTGTTTATTATTTCAGGTACTTATATAGCGCCATCAATTTACGCAGCACTTTACATATATATTGTACATTCCATCAGTCCCCGCCCCCGAGGAGCGTACAATCTAAGGTCCCTAACTCACATTCATACATACACATACTAGGGACAATTTAGACAGGAGCCAATTAAACCTCCCAGCATGTCTTTAGAGTGTGGGAGGAAACCACAGGACCCCGGAGGAAACCCACACAGGCACAGGGAGAACATGCAAACTCCAGGCAGGCGGTGCTGTGGTTGGATTTGAACCAACGATCCGAGTACTGCCAGGTGGAAGTGCTAACCATTGAGCCACTGTGCTGCCCGCCGACTCAAGTGACCTATGTGCGGTCAGCAGAAATTATCAAAAATATGCAAAAACCCCCCAAAAACAAACACAGGTGTTCCCGCCACTCGGCCTAAGCTCCAGGGCACTCTGTATACCTACAGAAGCTCCCATTCCCCAGAGAAACTCCAACCTCAGAGCTGGAAGTGCCGGGGGCCCCCCAAGTTGCAGCGCACCTCCTGAATCCCGAAACCTGCTGAACGCACTCAGCCATGGCAGCCAAGCCATTATTCCAACCAGTTCAGCCAAATCAGCGGGACGTGTCGGAAAGTAACAAAACGTTAAAATAAAAAAAAAAATAAAAACTTCT